ACCTCTACATGACAAGTCGGTTCTCATTTTTTCCCTTTACCTTTGCCCTCCCTTCACCCCCTCCTCCCCTCCCCATCTACAAACACTTTATTTTCATCCTTTCATTATCTCACCTTCCTTCATTTTAGACAGCCTTCTTCCATCCCAGGGTTATAGACTGCTCACCCATTCGTCCCTTCAGTGTTTTGTTTTTACATTTCAATCGGTGGGCATGATGAATGAAACAGACTCTTCCACCTCGTGCCCTCCCAACTGGTGAGTCAGGAAACAACTATTGAATAACCAGCCTTTCCCCAGTCAGTTTACAACACCAGCTCTCTATGTAAGTGTTAGATTCCCATGTGGATTCGGAGCTATTTCTGCACTGTATTTGGACAGATTATGCCAGCCCTGTGCTAGGGCCAGAGTGCTCTGATTTTATTTTACATGTTAGTATTTGGTAGGGCAGTTTGCCCCATTCTCCTGTTTCAGAATGTTCTGGTTTCTCATCATCATTCTGAATCAACTTTTAAAATATTTTATTGAATTTCTCGATCCTCTTGAGATTTAGAGATTGCACTGAATTTATGGAAACACTGATTTTTTTTTTTTTCTGGTACTGGAGATTGAACCAAGAGTCCTCAAACTGAGTTACATCCCTAGCACTATTTATTTTAAAAATTTTGTCTCAGTGGCCCAGGCTGAGCTGACACTTGTGATCCTCCTGTCTCAGCCTCCAAAGTGTGGAGATTACAGATGTGTAGCACCATGCCTGGCTTCCCCTTTTAGGTGAGCAAAAGGACTAGTTTTATTGATCCAGTATAAGTTCTCAAATTACTGCTAGAGAGGCCATGGTGGCACATGCCTGTAATCCCCACACTTTGGGAAATTGAGGCAGAGGATTACAAATTCAAGTCCCACCTGGGCAATTGAGCATTTTTCAAATTAAAAAATAAAGAGTAGAGATAGAGCTCTGTGGCAGAGCACCATTGGGTCTGATCCCCAGTACCACAAAAAAAGATTACTCCTAGGTATTTTATGTTACTGTTGCTCTTATGAATGAGATACATCCTTGTATTGATTTTCTAAAATTATAGCTATAAAAAACTACTTGTTTGTATGTGTCCTTTTATGTCTAGTTACTCCCTCCCTTCCAGAGTTCGGCTGCCTTGGGTATTCAGCACTGTTTCTATGTTGATACCTCTTGCTGTCCTCTCTTCCAAACTATCATCAATTTACTTCTAAACCTAAATTTGAACATCCACACACCAGTGTCATCTCTTGATATTCTGTATAATGCTTGCAGTATTATTCATTTAAAAAAATTTTTTTGGTACTGGGGATCAAACTCAGGTCCTTGCTCTTGCAAGGCAAGGGACCGAAACATTGGGCTAAATCCCTGGCTCTGTTTGATGAACTTTTTAAAAATTAATTTATTAAAAGTAAATTTGAAGCCGGGTGTAGTGGCGTACACCTATAATCCCAGCACTCGGGAGGCTGAGGCAGGAGGATCACTGTGAGTTCAAGACCAGCCTGGGCTATATAGCTAGTTCTAGATCAGTCTCAACTACATAGTGAGACCCTGTCTCAAAAAAAAAAGTAAATTTGAGCTGGGTACAGTTTTGCACAAATATATTCCCAGCTACTCGGGAGGCCAAGACAGGATTACCTGAGCCCAGGAGATTGAGACCAACCTGGGCTACATGCCAAGACCCCATCTCAAAAGTAAATAAATAAGCCGGCATGGTGGCACATGTCTGTAATCCCAGCACTCTGGGAGGCTGAGGCAGGAGGGTCACAAATTTGAGTCTAGCTTGCAAGATACTGTCTCTAAATAAATAAATAAGGTAGGGATGTAGCTTGGTATGAAGGCCCTGGGTTCAATCCCCAGTACCGCAACAAACCAAAAAAACAACCAAAAAGGTAAGTATGCACACATTTAGCCATAACTCATGCAGTAATGTGCATAAAATAACATGTAGCCTGATGTGCTATTACAAATAAAAATAAATATAAACAAATTAGTTTTTTAAAAATGTTTTCCATACCGCTCCAAAAAAACAAACTCTTGGATCTTCTGACACGTTTTGCAAACCGTTCTAGCGGGTAACAAACTTTGCACTGCTTCACATTCTGCACACTTCTTGTCATTTAAATCCCCTTTCTTGTCATTTCTCCAATTGTTGCAGCTCCACACTTGAACCTCACACGAGACAATTCCGCTCCTTCAGCCCCGTCTTTTGGCTCCATCTTGCAGCTGTCCTTGTCCTCCATTCTTACCAAAGGCCTCCCTGCCCTCCTCTCCTGCAGTGAGTACCGCCCAGCAGGCTTCCCCTGGACTCCTCCCCGAGGACCAGCATCGCACTTCGAGGCTGATCTTTCTGAAGGAGCTTCATTCAGGCTGGGCTCCTCGCGGCCTGCCTCTTAGACACACTTCGGGCCTGTCCTACCCATTGGCTACTGTTCCATCAGTAATCACGCTCTGACCTTGAGACTTTCCCTCCCGGCTTCTGCATGGGATTCTGTTTCTTTTCTGTGGTGCCGGGGATCAAAACCTCCTGCACGCTAGGAACGCTTCACCACTGTGCTACATCCCCAGGCCTCTTACCCATCCTTTTAAACTCACCTCCCTGGAAAGCCTTCTTGGATGCCTGCAGGCCTCTCCCTTGCTCCTGCCACACTGTCTACTGTCTGGGAGGCGCGGCTCTCTGGGTTTCCTCTCCCTGTGCTTACTACAAGGTACTGAGGATAAACTTCACATCTGAACACTGTTTCTGATCAGTGCAGGGCTAGGAACACACTAGATGCTCAGTAGACAGTGACCCACAGCATGGCGCATTCCCAAAGACCCCGCCTCTCCCTGTGACTAGCCAGGTCTGCACACCCCTCCCTGCCCGTCTTCAACTCCCATCCCACTGAGGCAAGAAGGAAAAACGAAGCAAAGGGGAGCGGGTCGGGGGAGAACACACTGGGAAATAGAAGCAGCCAGCTGTAGGATCATTAGTCTTTTAATATATTATTCTGAAAAGTCCCCCACCCCACACCCCGCCCATCCCTGGCGCTAGCCCCTCACCCTAGAACTAAAGAAGACGCCTGTTTCAGATCAGGCCCGCTCGCTACCAAGTTCTGGCGAAACTGTAAATACTGTAAGTGGTCGGCGCCTGAGCCCCTCCCTCGGCTGCCTCTTCTCCCGGGGCGGGGGCGCCTCCCTCGCTGTGGGGTGGGCATGGACGCCACCCCACACCCCGCCCATCCCTGGCGCTAGCCCCTCACCCTAGAACTAAAGAAGACGCCTGTTTCAGATCAGGCCCGCTCGCTACCAAGTTCTGGCGAAACTGTAAATACTGTAAGTGGTCGGCGCCTGAGCCCCTCCCTCGGCTGCCTCTTCTCCCGGGGCGGGGGCGCCTCCCTCGCTGTGGGGTGGGCATGGACGGCGGGGCCTTCAGGCATTGGCAATGGGGAGAGGGCAAGCTTGACCTTGTTCTCCACTCCTGGCTCAGAAGGGCCCGGAACTGCCCTCCAGACTAAAATAAATAACAAAATAAATACCCCTTCCCCAATCCCGGCTCTGTCACCGGGTGACTGTCCCACTGGCTCCAGCCCCTCCTCCATTTGACAGACCCATTTGATCCTTCCCTCATCCCCCTTGCCCACCTCCACCTCTGCCCTGCCCTTTGCATTCTCAGGAGGAGGGGGTCTACCACCATCAGACCCCCAACAAGCAAACCCTCTCCCCCTCCACCCCAAATGTCTCGGGGTGCTGTGAGCCTGGCAGGCTCCCTGTCTCCGGGGGC